CCCCCCCCCGCCACACGCTGCCCCGCCCTGGTACGGAAATCCATTTCTTACCACGGCTGGGCTCACATTTTCAGACTCCCTTTCCATCAACACCTCTTCACAGCAGCGGGATCTACCTGGCACCTTCTTCTACAGGGAAGGCGGCTCCACGTGGCCTCTGCCACCGCCTCCCAGTCCTCCCTGGCCCTGTCACTTTTCCCTTGCCTAACCCTCTCCCAGGCCCCTCCTCTCACCCATTTCCTGCTTCTGATGTATTTGGGTCTTGTTCCATTGTTTGCTATGCATCCCTTACCTCTCTTTGACACTCAACTCAGGCCAGCCCACCCCCACCCACCCCTCCCTCCCTCCGACTGCCGCTGACCCCTGTGGACACCTGTGCTGACTCTTGACCTCTTCAGAGGAAGTGCGGGGAGGGGGGGTCAGAGAGATGATCCTTGCCTACTTAGGCCAGTGAATGAGGTGATCAGGAGGCTTTCAAGATTTACTATTTGCTGTGTCAGGTCTGCATTTTTTTTAAAAAAAGCCAGAGAAAGAGGGAAGTGACTAAGGCTGAACTCTGTCCCTTTCCTTCTTTTCTCTGTGCAATTCCTACAGTACAAAGACTAACAAGGCTTTGCAAGATTCTTCTCTGATTCAAAGCAGAAGTTCCCATTTCGAGCAGCTGGAGAGAAAGTCTTTGGTAAAAAACAAAAACCTCAGTATCTTCTGCTAGCTGAACCTCTGCCCATCAGCTGCCAAGCAGAGCTCGCTGCCAGGTAGCTGCGCATCAGGTTGCAGCTGCCCAGATGTGAGCAAGGGAGCATATTTATGCGCCACGTGCATGTGTCTACATACTGCAATGTTGTTATGAACTTCAGGGTTACCACGGCGCCACTGGCAGTAAGGCCAGAAGGGAAGTGCCACCGAGGGCCTGTTGTGGCATCCGGAAGGCTTGTCAGAAAGATATTTGCCGGGCCAGGCTCTTGACGAAGCACACAGGAGCAAGGCAGAGATGCCCAAAGGGCCACGGTGGAGTACCAAAATGGGGTGGGGGGTGGGGGGGAGAGAGAATCCCTTCCAAAAGGACCCTGGAGTCGCAGGTGTTCCAGTAGAGGGAACAGATGAGACCACCATGCGTGGCACCTCCAGCGCTGCCAGGGCAACCCAGGGGTAGCCCCGGGTAGAGCAAAACAGAGAGGTAAGACCGCTTCCTTTTAATTGCTGGGCACCCTACGTCT